AACGACTGGCGAGGACAAAGGGCTAATACAAGGTTGAATAAGCGCGTCATCGACTATATTTTTTACTTGTGTCTTAATAGCCTCGCGTTTTATGGCAAAAATGCGATAAGGCTGCAGCTGGATGGGGCGGGCGTCATAGTCGGTAATAATTCGATGCTTCGTGAGGTGAGTTTGACGGACTTTGGAAGCAGTGGCGAATTAAGATTCAAACTCCCTTGAAAAGTCATAAAGTGCAGCCTTTTTCTCGTCGGACAGCGTCGAAATAATGTCGATGTGGTCTAGAAATTCCTCATCCTTATGAGTTTCTTCGGACGCGAAGCACTCCGTGACGTCGGCAACAGGGTCTCCATAGACTACGGTGGTTCCGCGGAAAAGATGCCGGTGCTCGTAGGTGAAGTTCGTAACTAGTATATGTGACTGTTCGTCACGAACACGCACAACTTCGAGCGGCGCATACACCTTGGAGCAGCAGAAGTGATAGGTTGCTTTCAGCCATCACGTCACCGTCTTAGAGGTCTTCACAAGTGACTTCGATAGGAACAGTCGCTCGAGGCGGTAGCGTTACACTATCATCAGCAACACGCAGTGCAGGTCTACAGCAGTTATCAGCGTCTCGACCTGTTGCGCCTTGAGTCGAGAAGGCCACAATGCGCTCACGGAGATTTATGATGGCACCGTATTCCCAAGGAAGTCCATGCCGCTAATCAGCTGATGTGAGGAGTCGCGAAGAACGAGGCAGGTGAATACAAACGCTGACGCACGAATTTTCACTCTTGCGGTACAGCGACCCAGCGGTGTTACAATGTGTCCTCAAGCACTTCGGATTCGCGTTTTTTTCCACGGCGTAATCACTTTCCTAAGATCTTTCGCTAGCCTCCCGCTGTTAATGGAATTGTCTGCACCAGTGTCTATCAATGCATTGACCTGAAAACTGTCAATCAGCACAGGTATGTCAAGTGATACGCGGTCACTGGGTTCAGATGTGGATTTCGGCATTTCTTCGGTACTGCGATTATTCTCTGATGAAATGTCTTCCCCGCTGCGTGCAAGCGTCGATGGGAGGTCTTCCACACTTTGAGTCCCAGTGACCTTGCCCCCGAAGGCCGCTGTCTTCAGTTTTCCTGACGAGGGCTCGGAGAGCGTTCCCGTGCCGTCACCTCGAAACGTGACCAGTGGCTGCGGGTCTCCTTGGAGATGGTGACCGCGATTGCCGTCGTGTAAAGGGTGCATGTTGTTGCGCAAGATACTCTTCGATATCTCTCGGCCTTTGACAAATTTGAGGGCGAGGTGAATTGATGGAAAATCCACGCAGGCCAAGTTGCCGGTATGGGCATTCACGGTAAATGTGACCAGCCTCACCGCAATGATAGCAGAGGGGTCATCTGTCCGGCGTACGCCGGAGATCAGACTTGCGCGTCGGTGCACGGCGACCATCGATGTCCAAACCAGCGTGTGCTGACTGAATCGCGACTGACGGCATCATTGTCTGGATTGGGACGTATGGCAATGTCTGGATCGGGACGTGCGGCACTGTCTGGATCGGGACGTGCGGCACTGTCCGGGTTTGGGACTCTTTGACCAGAAAGAAACGTGGCATATCGCAAGGCTTCCGCGTACGTACGACGTCAACTGTCAGTAGACACAGGACCGTTTCCGGGCATTGCTTATAACATTGCTGCAATTTGCAACCCAGATGTGTTCGGTACCGCTAGGTCTAATATTAAATTTTAGGCGATTTGATTCTGTATAACGTTGTATTGATATCTGTGAAATTCACTTGTCGATTGTAAGCATTTGTTAAATGAATGCCAAAAAATTGTCACCTATGCTAACCTCAGCCGCATTTTTCTCGTCGCAACAGAAACAATGCGACCTTTCTAAACCATATAACTTGTTTTGTAGAGGTTATAGCTACTTCTGTTCTGCTGTTTGTACTGCAGTTTCCTGACTTGTTGTAATGTATTAACCCACTCCTCTCTTCAATGCGATTGCATTGAGGGTATTCAAAATGAAAAAAAAATGAAAAACCGACATTGGCGGAAAACGATGGGCGTGCAGCAACTGCTGGGCTTCGTAACGAATGACACTGGTGATCGAACCGACATCAATTTGCCTTATCTCATACATTTTTTCTATTTCTTTGTGGACAACCTGGCGGGTCCACTCGGGGCTCTTGCTCCCAGGGGTGGCGAAAAACCCAGGAGTTGAGGCAGCATTCCCTTGACGGTCAAACAGGGCAGATCGGTGCCGCGCCTTCTCCATTGTTGCCGCTTCAATAGGGAACTTGGCAAAACTCTTAGGGGACGTTGCACTAGGAGGGGCAAGCATAAAAAACCTTTTTTGCATTTCTCTTCGGTTTTCCCCTTCTCTGCTTTCTCCCCTTCTCCCCTTCTCTGCTACGCACTAAACCAGCAAAAAGTTGTTCTTTCAATCCAAGAATAAGGTGGCACAACTTTTTTCTTCTGCCGTAGCAGGATCCGCTCGCTTGAAAAGCCGTGTCATGTCCTTGGCGTACATCGAGACGTTCTCGTTTGGCATCTGGATGCGTGATTGTAGTGCACGCTCCGGCCGTTCGCGGCGGTCGGGACTTCTGTAGGTCTCCAGAAGGTGACGCATGAACTCGCATCAAGATATCAGAACATCATCCCTTTTCAGAAACCACGGCTTGGCACCGTTCATCAGGCAAGTGTACACGTTCCGGAGCTTCGCGGTATCATCCCAGTAATTGTTCGCTGCCGCATGTTCAAACTCACCCAGCCAGTCATGAACATCTCCATGCTGCTCTCCCTGAAAGGGGCTAGGCATGAGCGGTTTCTGGGTGGAGTAGTAGATCGGCGTGGAAGGTGCCGGAAGCTAGCTTGCACGGCATCTTGTGTCGAAGTCATGGTCACTGCGTCAGTAGTCGGTGGCTCAGGCGGTAGGCTTCGTTAGCGGCGACTTACTCTGTAAACAGGAGTGTCCACGGGTGCAGGGCTTGTGTTCCGGCTGCTGGGCGGGGTTTTGTGCATCGGGTAGACCATGAGTCATTGTAGCCAGCTTCTCTACCAGTCTTGTCACGTTTCTGACGACAAACTTGATTTAATGAGCTCGTTGATCCGAATAGCCAAGCAGCAGCTTAGATAGATCATCTTTGTCCTCTTTCACTTATCGATCTCAAAAAACTGATCATGTGGTAATATTAAGGGCGGTCTTGCACGCAAAGACATTTTTTTGACGTTTTCAACGCCAGCACGTCTTTAAAGGTTTTCGTTCACTCGCAATCGTCTCTTTATATCCTGGAAGAGAGCATTTCAAGGTGTATTTGCTAATTAGTCGCTTCTTTCCGCTCCGGGAGTGAGGTTGCCCGATTACTCCAAGCAGTGGATTTCCATGTGTGGTTGTTTCAGCACAAATGGAACGTTCAAGGGACGCACAGCCCATCTCCTGTTGTTTGTTGTGGCGCAAGGAACATCCACCCTCGGAATGAATACGATCAGAGTTTTGTACCTGCGCAATAAAGGTTAAGCTCTGTATTGGTTCGAGTCTTCGGCCATGACAGCGATACACGATGCTGCTCAGCTTTCAGGCTCCTGCCAACTTTCGCCAGCGAACCCCTTTTCGAAGACTATGTCCAGCGAGTTCTGCTTTCTATTTGGCCCGGATGTTTGGTTCTCCAAGGGCTTTGTTCTTCCGATGAAAAATCGGCTCAATGTGCGTGCTTTGAAATTGAAACGTCGACGTCTTCCGCTAGACCTTCGCCCAGAAATTTCGAAAGAGCTACGTAAAATGGGAGAACTAGATTTCATCGAGCGCATGAATGTCTCGAAATGCGTTTCTTTTATCGTTATAGTAAAATTATATTGTCATTCGTCTCTCTCACTCTTCATTGTACTGCTCCCAGGCAAATGGACTTGTATAACGCTTCAACTGCATCTTCAGAAACTTCGTACAGACTGTCGCACTGATTCTCGACACAAAAAGTACACATGTTAATATTGCAGTCTGAATCACTCGCAAGTGCTAATCTGGTTGACATCTTTCCTTGCCCATAGTGAAATAACGTAGCTGCCTGTTGTGGTGACTACAACATGATTGGCTGCAAAAACTGAATTTTCGAACAGAGGACAAAAGAAGACAAAGCACTTTGCTATAGGTTGTCTTTCTTCAGTTTTTTTCTGCATGCAAGCATTCTGCGCGGTAAAATAAGTTTCTTCCTTTTGAGTTTGCTCGTAGTGCTTTTTCACACATCTATCACATGGCATGAAAAGAAGTAATAAAAAAATAATAATATCTGCGGTTTCACGTCCCAAACAAGCACGTCATATCTGGAGATGCCATAGCAGATGGAATCGGAAATTCGGACCATCAGATGTTTTTTAACGTACTTTGGCATCGCACTGTAAACGAGACTCTTCTGTTTTGCCGCCACGAAAACACTACCACTGTGACCGGCATCGCACCCGCGACCTTCGGGCTCCACCCAAGCACCGTAACCACTGATCCAGAGTGTGGGACCTCTCGGGAGGCAGGTACACACCCGAGGGTGGATCCGGCATTGACCTACTCGAAGCCTGCTTTATACCAAGGCGCTTGCGCTTGACGATATCAAAGAGGAGGCACACAGAGGACAACACTTCCTCTGAGACATGCTGCAGGCGTCTAAAGCAACTGTTTCGATATAACAAAGGGGCTCTAATTTCAACATCGCTCGATTTACCTTCGCTGTGAGCAGATCAAAGATTGTGCTAGCTCCAGACTAGAACATTTTTTTTACCCACAGAACATGGATGTTTAAGAGCGACTCGTCAAGTTATGGTGCACGTTATGACCAGCTCGTGTAGGTGTAACTAAGACCATGCAGGGCTATTTTCCTAATGCACGATGAACGAGGCCAATGTACAATATACAGTTGAGTTCTTTGCGAAGTAGGCGTGTATCCACACACTGAATGTGTCGGTAGCGGTGACTACCTAGCGAGGGATACATATAACGCGTAGACGTGTAAAGAAGGGGACGTGTACCTCGTACTGCAGCTCGAGTTCAGTGTCCTTGCCACCGGCTCTCTCCAGCTTGAGGCGGCTGAAGTAGGCGGATAGTTTGTCTGACGGCTGTCTTGTTGGCTCGCCGAACAGCCGCTCCACGAGCGCCTCGTGCACGAACTCGTACTGCTCCTGCGAAGACCGTGAGATGAATGTCAACGGTGGGGACGGATTGCTCTTGAATGGTGCACGGATTACTTTTGAAAGCAAACAATGGTACAGGCTAAACGTCAAACTTCACACAGCTTCGCACTAGGAGGGGCAAGCATAAAAAACCTTCTTTGCATTTCTCTTTGGTTTTCCCCTTCTCCGCTTTTTTCACTTTTTTATTTATCTCTTACTCTCTCCATTATTTTCTCACTCTTTCTGTGCTGTTCTTATTTGCCCACTTCTCTCCTGTTTTTATTTACTAATGTGCTCTCCTTATTTTACCAGATGGTACGCGAGGTTCCCGCTTGACAAAGACAATCCAGCTGGAATTCAAGCTGCAAATATCCCTTCCGGCGGTAAATGCCACAGATGGGCAGTTTCCGGCTCAAACTGAAGCCCATCTTAGAGGGTTTTTCAGCCGGGAACATACAGACATTGCAATTTCCATTCGGAATCAAATCTCAGCTGAGGCAGCTTTTTAGCAGAAAGCAGTGGCTGCTGTTGGAAAGCAGAAGAACTAGAGTTTCCGAAATCAAACCAGAACACAGCAAATTTTATAGTAATTTCTGGGGTTTCACTCGCCAAAACAACGTCATGATTATGCGATAAACAGTTGTGGAGGCCTCTGGTAATTTCTAACAGACGTTAACGCACAGTAAAATTGCATAATGCGCAGACCTCTGGAATTAAGCCTTCATCGGTGTCATGTAACCATCGCTGCCAGGATTGCGCCCACGTCTTTCAGGCCTGAAGCTGAGTATTGTAACCAGTGTACCACTGTGCATTTTTTACTGCAAGCTTTTGGAAAAACACCACGACGACATAAGAAATTAGCGATTTCCAGTTTTAAAGTGCTGGGTTCCAGTGGCAGCGTTCTCTTTGCACTTTAATACGTTTATGCTGCGAAATGTCACTTTCAATAGGGAACCTTAAGTTTCTACGGCTGAATTGTACACGTAACAGATAAATTTTTCAAAAAACCTTGCCACATTTTCAAAGCCTCGCTGCAAGGAGCGAAACGACAAGCCCAAGAAATAAATGTATACATACGTCGACATATAGCGCAGTCTGTCGTCGTATGTCTTTTTCTCATGCCTTTGTTCTTTGACGCGCTACACCGAAGCTTAACTTGGAAATGACCCACTACCAACAAGCCCACGCACCCACCCTCCTTGACAAAATTCTACCTCTTGTATTTGTTATGGAGTAAAGGAGAGGCATGAGGCGCGTGGCGAAAGTGGAAGCGCGGTTACTGTGCGCGAGGAGAAAAGACCCACCTGAGTACACGCGCACCAGCCACTTAGACCCAAGAGATTGGTCGGAGAAAGGCTCGTGGCACGCGACCCGAGCCGAGAAGAAAAAAATCCACAGGAGGAGCTGGCACTTGTGTGTCGGAACGCCGAGCTGCGAAAGCGTGGGAAAGAAGCGTCGCTACGGCGACGGCAACAGTATGACTAGCCGTTTCTGTGGATGTCCGCGTGAAGGGGCCGGGAGGTGGCCGTTGACTTCGGAGATGGTCCCGTGTGATTCTGTCCGCACTTGCCACACCCTGGCCAGCAGTTCCTGATGGACTTGCGGCTTCCCCACATCGCTCTAGGAAGGGAGCAGCCCACAGCAGTCATTAAAGTGCGTCATCAATGAGGCCCTGAACTAGTCGGGTTCGACCAAGTGGGCCGCAGATGACGAGTGAGACCCGGACACCGACAAAGGCCGCCGAGTGGACACGTCAGCGAGGGAGTCCATGACGAGCCGGGCCTATCGAGGCAACAAATCGAGAAGAGGAGCGGAACACCGGCGATGAGGACGAATGGTTTGTGCGGCGGGGGCAACTGACGGCGACCGTAAGAAGTGGAGCAGCCCATCAACGGCGGAAGACTCGACTAGACGTCGACACAGCAAGGGGCAATGAGCCGCAACGCAATGAGCCGAAAGAACATCCTAATGTTGACGCCATATTGGCTTAGCAGTAGCGGCTAGGACTAGCAATAAATTGGAACAGAGCTATTCACCTTTTCATGAACGCCTCCCTGGGTGCCGTCATAGCCCTCCTTGGGCTGTGCAACTTGGCGCGTTCCCTCGAAAATGCACTGAAAACGCTTCGCCCTTAGATTTTGTACTCCCGCGCACAGCCCATCATTGCGGTGTTTTTCCTTCCTGTGAAAAGGTGTATGGTCAGCTTTGGTTTGCCCAAGTACGTGCATTGGTATTGCGGATTATTCAGACATTCTTATTACAATATTTATAGGTTTTGAGTGTTATTTGATTCTTGAGTTTTTTTGGGCACTAGCAAACGTTTGTTTCCGATTTTCGACTTCCTTTGCTAGTGTTTAGTGTGACAAAGCGTGTTTGTTTTCCCATATTTGCATCGCGCGTCTTTCTCGTAGTCATGCTTCGCAAGCACTCCCGAATTAATTCATGCCAGTGGGGGAGACCTCAACAGTATATTACGTCTGATAAATAAAGTACGAATATGCTTGCCAGAACACTCGTCTGGACAAAAAAGAAAATGGTGGATCGTTCCGTCATAGGAATCACTAAACAGTTGTTAAAGTTTACTGTTCATTCATATCGGAAAACTTGTGCAATGTGTATTGGTGCTTGAGATCTATAGCACCGTTTAACGTGGATCCATCTACATTGACATTTAGTCGTACATCTCCATTCCAAGGATAAGCGTTGATCGTTAACGAATAAATAACTCTATACGGTCATAAGTTTTGGGGTAGCTGTGACAAATGACGAGAGCTGAACCAGAAAAAGCGATGTGACAGCGAGAAGAGCGTGACTCACTGGACGCCCAACTATCCATTTTTCTTCTGTTATTTTTAACGGAAGGTCTTGCTGCTGTTTCTTGGCGTTGCGACCCTTGTCTGCATACAATTAACCATTCACCTTCATATTTTAAATTGTCGCAGTGGGTAACTAGCCCGGCACCTGATACCGTGACCCACAGTTGTTGTGTTTCACTCCTTTTTGGCGGAACTTTTTTGTGTTTTGTTTATGCGTACTCCTTCGACGTATTTCTGTCACTGAATGCGTCACGAAGTCTTGGTGGAATCCAGCCTAGTACATGTTCATGGTAAAAAAGGACAATTCTGTTCGTGCCATAAGGCTATCCTGAAGGTACCAGTTATCGTGCAACGGTATCGCCCTTGTGTCCTCGCTCACTGATCGCGTGCGCCTGCCCTACAAGGCCTTATCATATTGCCACGTGCATTATTGCGTCCAAATTCGCGCTAGCGATGACATTGCAGATCACCAATTTGCTCGAGAGGCACAGCACAAGTGACTGTACAAGACGACAATCTTGGCGGCCCGCCATCTTTTTAGAGCGTCTGTAGCGTAGCGCTAGTGGTGTCCAGCCAGCAAGAGAAAAAGACGACGAGCACGGGTGGCTCGTCACGTGAGGTGCCTAGAACGTTCGTGTGCTTCTAGCTGACTGGACGTCACAGCCGCTGCGCTACTTCGGCAGCTCGCTTACTCTTGTACGTCTCGGCCTTTTATTTAACCTGTGACGACGGCCCGTGTACGTTGGATGCCATCACATCACTAGAAAATTGGTGACCACGGACTCACGGACAAGTGGATGACGCTGCATAACTGCTGCCAAGCTCCGCGGTCATGTTCCAGCCAGCGCAAAAATGGCAGCCCCAATTCGACCCGCCACTGCCACCATTCCAGACCTCTCGCCTAGAGTCCTGGTTCGAGGAGTTTGCATTGGCCTTGTATCACAATGACATCTGGATCCAAGAGTTCATATACGAAGTATTGGAAAATCATCTTCCACATGGCCTCGAACGCCGCCTAACATACTTCTTCTGGAGCCATCACCTATACGATGACCTGCGAGACGCCGTGCTCAAGTTTTGCGGCATCAAACGCGAGGCATCCAGTTTCAACTCCGTGAGGAGTTTGCGAAGAAGGACGCAAGGTACACATTGCTGTCACAGGCACTTCCGCAGCAGGAGTCTACGGTTGCCTCCATCACTGAAGTCGTTCACCATCACTTCGACAGGCGCTTGCCTCTCCCGAGCCCTACCATCCAAACTCATACACCTACGCAGACGCTGTGCGTCGACCAGTGGTTCTAGAAGTATCCTACCAGATGAACGGATGCAGCGAAGCTGACGCTGTTCGTCGACCCAGGCCCATACTGGCGCCACAGTACCTCGAACCGTGCCCATCAGGATTCTGTAAGATGACACTAACGACATATGGCGCATGGCGCATCGACGACCACTGTGCCAGATCTGTAGAAAACCACGGCACATTTACCGCTTTCGCCCACGTCGCCGAGCTGAATACCACGGCAGTGCACCTGCCACTTGGCGCCGACAGTTCGGCGAAAGCCGTGCCCCCATCGACAACGACCAGGCTGGCTGGCCAGATGGCTCTGCTACCTTTCAAAAGCACTCATCATCTCCAGCTCGTTTTGTTTCACCAAGCCGCCGTAGTTGTGCTGACACAGTCAGAGGTCAGTCTCCCACTCCATCAACGAAGTTCAGACTGGCATGTGGATAAACCGTACAGTGGGATACTCCACCGTGGAGTGGGAGACCTCCAGTGGCACGTGGATGAACCGTGGAGTGGGATCGACCTTGAAGTGGGATCCACCGTGCCAGTCTGAACGAAGACTGGCATGGTGGATGGACGTGTTTTTAGAGCGCTCCTGCTCGACTGCACAGATAAGTGGTCTTGCATGTTTTAAGCTTGCCTTCATGATTAGTAAGGCGGCACTTATATTATTTGTAGCACTAATTACACTGTATGGCGTTTTCAGGGGTCAGTCATCAGGTCTTTACTAGTTTGTGCGTGTGTGTTTGTTTGTTTTTTTGTTTTGTTTTCTTGCCACCCTGTGGGCGAGGTGCACGTACATTGAACGCGAACTTTTGTAGTGGAGCTTAGACTTTTTGTTTTTTGTAGGGTAGGAATTATGTTGTGTAAATATTGAGTGAGACGATCTATAAGAACAATTGGTGTCA